GTGTAGACCCCTCCTTGGCACAGGAGTGTAGAGCCCTCCTTGGCACTGCCGCCAGAGCGGCGCCGGGGACTCACTGAGCATCGAGGCGCCCGGAGCTGAGCCCTGAGCTGGGGGCCGAGCAGAGCCTGGAAAGCAGCTGCCCTCCCGGAGGAGCCGCGGGAGCAGCGAGCGCTGCCGGCTGGGGCRTCACGGCACGGAATCACAGGATCCCTCTCTTGGAAGGGACCTAGGAGACCATCCAGTCCAACCCCCCTGCACACGTAGGGCACCTAGAGCACGGGACTGCATCCAAATGTTAGTGATGGCAGATGCCCCTGGGTCTGAGCACCTCAGGTTAGAGTAGGAGTAGGTTTTAATACTTTCCTGGGTGCTAACAGCTGTATCTAACACTTCTGGGCATTTTACAGCGCTGCTTTCTTTAGAAAGCTTCTTTCTGTTACTGTTCGCGTACATAAAATTATCTAACGCTATAGAAAGAATGGACTTGGAAGAAGAAATAAGCAAGGACTATTTTTCTTGAATAACCCTTAAGAGTCACATCCCTACTGAAAAGGCAAATATTTTTCCATGGAAATAGAATTAATAAATTGCCAATAGCCCAGCTAAAATATTTATGAATATTAATGTCGAACAATTTCATGATTTTATGGCAGTTTAGCTGTTCCTGTCAGCAATGTCAAGAATTAATTCTTTGAATTTCTTTAGGCTTTTAATCCAGGCTCGCTACGATGTAAATATTAAAGATTACGATGGCTGGACACCACTTCATGCTGCTGCTCATTGGGGTAAAGAAGAAGCATGTCGCATTTTAGTGGAAAACCTTTGTGATATGGAGGCTGTCAACAAAGTGGTAGGATTTTTATGTAATCCTTGTCAAGATACAAAGTTCTGGTCTCTAAAGTGACTTTAGAAGCCAGGGTAAGAAAAGTGATGATAAAGTGCTGTTTACTGTACATGGAGCTTTCTATAATGCATGTTTTGTCAAATCAGCATGTTTGTGTTCAAAACTAATTTCTCTGATTTTTCTCATTTATTTTCTGAGCCCGCTTTACACTTAGTTCTACACTGAATGGTCCAYGGGATCTTAATATTTGCCAGTGAAATTCAAGATAGAGTAGTTTTATTGACATTTTAGAGGTGCACCCTGCTGATCAACATACATACACCTCCACGTAGGCAGAGTTAATTTAACAGAAGGAAGAAACAAAGATCAACTGGAATTTCCTTACTTGAGTACTCCCTGAAGTACATTCTCAACTTTTACATAAAGGCCTATGCCATTTACTGGCTTTGCAAGATTTTGCTGCCCCCAGATAGAAATATTTTAGTGTTTGGCATTGACATCACGAGAAGCTGAAACCTTTCATTGAACAGTGTAAGTCCTGAAGCTTCCTTTCATCTTTTCCCGTCACATTTTAGAGCTAGATTCTGATCTCTGTCCAATTTCTGTCAATACTGTGTGTGTGAATTGCTGCACAACTTTTAAGGTGGGTTCTTTGTGGGACTTCCTGGCAATGGTTTTTAAAGTAAACTSGGGAGATGTGCTGAAATGTGACCCTAATTAGGTCATGAGCTAGCAAACATGTCCTCCATAAATGAAGGGGAAAACTACTCTGTATTCTTTGTTGAAGACCAGGCATCTTGCTTGGAAATTTCAGTTACTTGTAATGAATCAATGAAATCTGGAATCGCATTTTAAATAGCTTCAGCTCAGCTTCTGTGGGATGCTTAGAGAGGGTCTTGATATCAGCTGTAGGATTTGTATCTGGGAATCAAAAGCTGATGCAGTTGTCTGAAGCCGCTTGCTCAGGTTTATCCGCTAGACTTTTCCTGGGCTTGTGTGAATGTTGGGAAGATAGTCCAGAAAAGAGGCTCATAGAAATCCGTTCAGCTCAGTGAGGGATGGATGGGCTATTTCATGTGGTGTGTGGGCCTGTCTKTGCCAGCCAGGACAGATCTGCCTGCTGTGTTCAGTAAGTGGTTTTGCTTTTAGAGATGGTRAACATTGAAAACTGGGTTTGATTTCTGCTATAGGTGCTCAGCATTGGGGAGGACTAGGGCAATATTATTAACGTGCTTAGCTTTGGGTATTAGCTGTTATAGTTTGCGCCTGGATTTCTAACTTTCCAGTTAATACAGGTGTTTTTACCAGATATTTTTTGTGGTGAAGGCAGGTCTTACTCAGAAGTTTTTGGAAATAAATCCACTTAATATATATGTAAAATCAGAAAGCCAAAATAAAAACTGTAAYCATCATGTAAATAGGACCTTGAGGTGATTTTGTTGTTTAGTTTCCAAGTCACTACCGTATTACTGTGAACGCAGAAGCTCCTGGTTTGAAGAAGGGGTGAGGCCGTTTTGGATAACACTTGCTGCCTGGAATATTTGCTTCTGGTAGGTGAGGAGATGCTGTTTGGTGGAGGAAACTAGTGGTTTGAGGGTTCAYCCTCAGCAGCTGGTTAAGCTGCCCAAGCCTTGCCGGTGTCATCAGGGGTGTCGGTGTATGTGTCTCTAGGCGACACTTTGCTGAACCGAAACAGGCAGCCGGGCAAGCCTGGTCCCAAAACAGGTCTCATTATCCTGCAAAGCTCTGGTGGCCACTTTCAGTGGACAGTTGTGTCGGTCGTGATTGTGGATCACAGTGCAGACTTGTTTGTGTGCCTGGTCGTGTCACGGCCATGACAGCGTTTTGGTGTCTTCGCAGAGCGCGGTGCTGCAGCCCTGCTCACCACGGCACATCTAGGCTCTGCCTGGGGTCCAGGCTTACTGTATTTAAATACAAACTCACAGATGCAGCACATGATACTATGATACTTAAATACATTAGACTTCTTTTTGAAAGGCAACTGCTGAAGCTTTTAGCATTCAGACAGGAAAATGAATCTCAGGTGCTGGGAGCATTCGATCTGAGCAGGAATTGCAGCGCTGGAGTAGATATAAGGCGAGATGGAGAAAATCCAGGTGACAGCATTGCTCGGTTTATCACACTGTGAGTTGTCCATGTATTCAAATACATTTCTCATAGAAATCACTCTTCAGGTAGACAATAACAAACAGTTGTGTTAGATTTTTTCTAAAATGGAATGTAAAGATTAAATACTGTAAAAATACAAAGGCATRGCTATATTTAAATTTTGTATGATTTAGTTTGTTGGATTAACTTGAATAATTCCTTTAAAAAAAAAAAAAAAGCCATGCTATTTATATATGGTAGATCCAGGGTGGGCAGAATATGGCATTGGTGAGTGTCCATCTAAACAACTACCATTGGAATAGGTGTTTAGAATGGACTAATATGATTGTATCATGGACTAAGATGTTCTTTCAAATAGCTTTTCTGTTGCGTGATTTCTTTCCCTTAAAAGGCAACAATTTTTGAAGTCATGTCTTTATTTCTGAAAAAGTACTTGACTCGTCAGGTATAGGTTGTTCTCTTTAGGTTACAAAAAAGTGGGTGTGTGGTACTGTTTTCCATCACTGACAAACTAACAGTTTGTAACGGAACTTGGCTTATMCATACTTTTTAATTCCTCTGTATAATTGTGCTTCTTACCTGCCTGTAGGCGACATAATCCATTACGTTTACATTCTGCTGTAGCATATGATATTTGATCTTTCCYCTTTCCCAGGGGCAGACAGCATTTGATGTGGCAGATGAAGATATTCTAGGATATTTAGAAGAATTACAAAAGAAGCAGAATCTGGTAGGCCTTTTGCATGTACATATAATATCTTTATTATGCATTTGATTGTGGTACATAAGTAATTTAAAGAATAAAGAAGAATTCAAGGCTTCTGGTAAGGTAATGCTATTGTTCTCATAGCAATTCTTTCATGCCTKTATTTGGGCAATTATGTGCACTGAAAAGCTTTGGAAGAAAGAAGGTGCTGTCTCACTTGCCTCCTCCAGAAGGCAATTTGTCATCATCAAGACGAGCATTTTATGAACATCAGCAATGAGCAATTGATTTGCACTAAGCTGTTTCTAAGATGTTAGAGCCTTGAATTTAGATACTTTCCAAATTTATATGCGTTCTGGTATTTGGAAAAGTTTGATRACACTTCTCTCCTTGAATATTTTGTTGCATCTGTACTGTTTATACCATTCTAGCAATTTAACTTCATTATTCTCTGTATTTTGAAGCTTCATAGTGAAAAACGGGAGAAGAAATCTCCCCTGATTGAATCCACAACCATGGATAATAATCAGACACAAAAAACTTTCAAAAAGTAAGTAAGCTATTACAAATGATAAACAGTTTCACAAACTGGCACAGAGTTCTACTTACCTGAGTTTAGTAAATTTTTCAGAATTCAGTAAGAATTTTTCTATTGCAATTTCAGCAAAGAAACTTTGATTATGGAGCAAGAAAAGAATGCATCAAGTATAGAGTCTCTGGAACAAGAAAAAGCAGATGAGGAGGAAGAGGGAAAGAAGGATGAATCCAGCTGTTCTAGCGAAGAAGATGATGATGATGACTCAGAATCTGAAGCAGAGACAGGTACGTTATTTGAAGCATTGAATTTTTAGGGTTTCACTGTAGAATTTCACTGCATTAAAATCACAGGCTACAGAGTTAAGTATCTTCAGTTTAACTTTTTTTCTTTCATTTTTTCTACATGTCAGTAAGCTTCTRATCATTCTAAAGCAAGTTTATATGTAGCTAAAATAAAGTCATAGTCATGAAGACAAAGATATATTTATTGATGGCTACTAAGGTTGAAGCAGTTAATATACTTGTTAAATGCAAATTTGAATGCAAGAGATGGAATGTTATAAGCCTTAAATAACATGTCAAAAAGAACRTGGAAGAGGTGAGAAGATCAGCAGCAAAGCACAAATAGAGTCTTCATGGTAGTGTTTGCTCCCAAAACTGATGCAGAGGTTACTGGAACTGCAGAAGAGTAAATGTCACTTGTTCCTGCCATCCTGAAGTAAACACCAATGAATATGAGAGTCCTAGCTCAGATACTCATAATATAATGGTGTGTATACTTAACTTTCAGTATTAATATACTAAAATAAACTCAGTTTTAAATTAAAGTGCTATTTTAATATTAGCTKAACAATTACTTTATGAACCACTTCAGTTCAAGGGCAGTGTTACTGGGAAATCTAGTTGTGTGCAAAGAGATGCATTACAGTAGCTGTCTGAAAAATCAAACACCATTGCCTAAATTTSATTGTGCAGCCTGCATTGGAGGAGACATTTTTTTGCCTGTTTATATCGGGCCCTGCAGTGTCTAAAGGTATCTAAGGCCAAATTCTGTGTGGGATTAAGTTAGGAGGGAAGGAATGAAGAAGGGGATAGGGAAGATGTTTCCTTCTAGTTGCAGAGGAGTCAGGCACCTTAGCCGTGTATTCTTTGTTCTGCAAGATGCCTGTCAGATTTATATGGCCTTTCTTGTGAGCCATTCACTGAGTATACAAAGTATTCCTCAAATTTAATGTTTAAAAGAAGCCAACATTTCAGTGTTAAACAGGAAGAAAAAATCTGTCTGGCTTTGTAGTTACTCGTTCACCTTGGTGTCCTTGCATCCCCGTATTTACAGAGATGGATGTGGGGTAGGCTGAGCTCCTCTGTGAGATAGATAGATAGATAGATAGATAGATAGATAGATAGATAGATAGATAGATAGATAGATAGATATAAAACACATAGTACTTTCCCAGGCACTGAGCTGACTGTCATGTCCCTGCAGCTTTATGATCCTGGTAACTATTCTCTTCATTACCAGCAGACAGTTTATGCCAGGAAAATTTGACTGTGACTCAAGAATTAATTTATGTAAACTCTGTGTTTTTTTCTTTTTAATATCAACAAGACTTTATCATACTTTATTTAGCAAGCCAGTATTTAAGCTTTTCCCTGCAGAGCTGCATCTTAGGTGCTCTAAGCTTGTGTTTTTTCTTATTACTCAGCTGAAGGTGCTTTTCTTGTGAAAAATCTTAAGACATTCTGATTGTAAAATATTCTAACATAATTCAGTATTCTGAAGTATTGTAAACTGTGTGATTTCTGCCGGGATATTTGAAATGCTCTCCTGAAGTCTACGTTTTGTTTTATTATGTGAGAATACAACTTTAAATATATTTCTCTCTGTAAAACCAAGCAGAGAATTATGAATATGAAACTAGCACATCCTAAAGGAGAGGAAAACAAGCTGGAAAAAAAATCTTCCAACAGTTTGTTTTTAAAACACATTTTATTAGACATAATTCCATGGGTTTTGAAAGCTAGTACTAGCTTAGTCTTGTATAGTACTATGTTGTCTCTTTAATTGAAATAATTTCACAATACAGTTGTGAAAGATCCATTTTTCCTATTGACCTGTCCCTTCCATGTTTTTTTTCACTCCTATTATTTTTTCCTATGTATTTTAAAGCTTTATTTTGCAGATTTATAATTTGCAAATTCCTAGCAGCTTGTAACTTTTCACATCTTTCTTAACTCACATTGTCAGCCCATGTTGCCTTGTTGAACACCATAACCCATTTTATCATCATTCCTTTTCCCTGGCATTGAAAAGGAGCTTTCCTTTAAACACACACTTTGTCATGTAAGCTGAATTTTTTTTCATGTTAGTATTTGTTTACTGCAAAAGTAATTACTCAAAAGCATCTGTTCAGCTGTGTCTGTCGCTATAGGCAGTAGCATTAATTATGCCGTTTCAAATCACAGAGTGGTTCTTCGCTGGGTTTGAACATTGGCTATGGGAAGGCTGTGTGAAAACATTGCACCCTTCCTGAACAAACTGCTCCTACACTGTATAGGTAGCATGGAAATAAAGAAATGTTTAGAGAGGCCAAAAGCGGTGGGGATTGAAGTCCTGCCTGGCTCAGTCCTGCACAGATGGCCGTGGCAGCGTGTTGGGTGCAGCAGGACGGGTTACGGTCCACAGGCAAAGAGGGCAAGTGAGAGAACTGTGGGCAGGAAGGACAAGGAGAAGTTTCAGAGCCCACGAAAGCAAGGGCCAAGAAGGGATGGGGCAGGTGGGCAGCCAGAGCTCTGGCAAGTCCCTGCCCTGGCCTCGTCCAGTGGCCAGGGTCTTTGGCTGGGTTATTCACAGTGCAGTGAATTATTTCACCGCACTCAACATGTACAGTTGTCCAAGAATAAATGTTTTACTTTAAATTAACATCATCTTTTATCCAAATTAACTCTTATATGGCAAGATACATTCTACTGTTAATTTTTAGGGGCATTAGCTTACTACTAAAGTGTAAGAGATTGAGGAGTCTTTGGAAGCTTTAAAGACCTGATTAAAGTCCAGAGCAACCTGACCTGCACTGTCACACAGAATGGTTGAAGTTGGAAGGGACCTGTAGAGATCATCTAGTCCAATCCCCCTGCCCAAGCAGGGACCCCCAGAGCATGGGGCATGGGGTCCTATCCAGGCCGGTTTGGAAGATCTTCAGAGAAGGAGACTCTACAGCCTCCCTGTCATAGCAGTTTTGACCCTACTTTGAGCAGGAGTTTGAATTGGAGTCTCCCAGGGTCACTTTCAGCCTGTCTGATTCTGTGCTTCTACATCTGGATTTCTGAATGTTTCACAATTGCTGAATTACAGCAAAAGTTGTATGTGTGGATGGTTCTGGAACAAATGATGCTGCTTTTTTTTTTCCATACAACCAAGGTACAGATTGGGAGTGAGAGGGAAAATCCTGAAGCATAAATAATAAAATGCTGCTGGGAAAATTAACTATCACATTTGTTAAAGAGAAATTCAACTCTGTGCTATGGGAGTCAGGAAATTGTAAATGAAAATTGTGACAATATTTTGCAGATAAGACCAAACCCTTGGCCTCTGTAACTAACAATGCGAATACCAGCAGTGCTCAGTCGGCGTCTGGAGCTGTGACGGCACCTTCGGGAACCGGTGGTCAAGGGCCACCTTCATCACCTGTTAAAAAGGTAAGATAAAATACTTTGTATTTATATGTTTGCAGATTTCTGTTCCTCTGTGTGAGCATAAGTAGTTTGATTCTACATACCAGTTACCTAAAGAAATGTTTTTTCCTGTATAAACTGGTGATTTTTTGTACATTTCCTAACTTGAGTGAATAGTTTTGAAATTGTCAGTTGGAGAAGATACTGTTCTACCAGTCTAGGTGACCAAGCCTAAAGATCTCAGCCTGTTTCTCCGTGAGATTTAATGTCCAACCCTTCTCTAGTTTTCTACTCTTCCTTCTTGATGGAACAGRTTGATGTTAATTCTTCTAAGGAAGATGATGAGAATGAAAGTATAGCCCTTCAGAAGGAAGCGACAAGGTGGTTCAGTGTCTAAGATTTCCATTGGACACTCATCCTAGGTGAAGTGACCAAAACTTGTCTTTCTTTGTTAAGCAGAATTTGTTGTGGTTCTGAAGCTTCATTTCTGTTGCCTTGTGAGCGCCTCTGTGTTGTGGGTTCTGAAGTAACTGGACTGAGTTGCAAACCCTCAGCCACGCTCTGCTCCTCTCCCGTCAGCCCCTCATGGCTATGGGGAGAAGGCAAGTGAAAACAGATTTTATTGAAGTGAGAGGTTCATTTCTTAGAGCCATGAAACAGTTCTTTTCCTCTGTTCTGGCTAGCATTGTTTTCTGCAATCAAGTGTATCATTTATAAGGTTAATAAAATTAAAAAGGTGAGGATGAGGATTCAAAGTCATTTGGAAGGAGTTTGACTGAAACATTGGTGGAGACACTGCTGCAGCCTACAGAGGATTTCAGGCTTCCTTTTTTCATGTGACTACAGTCCAACTGATGAAGCAATATGTGCTGATTAGAACTGTGTTTTCCACGTATGTGGCTTCTTTTGGGGGCCCTCTATGTTGGTAATGTAATAATTAGTATTTRTTTTCTAATCTCTTTTTGGAATAGAGCAGAATATATCAAAGCACTTGTTTGTATAATAATCTGGGCAGTCTGCAGTGTCCAGTTAATTCACCTTTTTGAGAACTGTTTATGCAGAATTGCCTGTAAAAGCATGAGAGACTGTTCCTCCAACTTCCCAGAAACTGCGTATTAGACTTCATAATAGTGACATAATTCAGGAGTGATGTTTTAAATGAACTGAGTGAACTTGTTATATTCAAATTTTATGTTTCTTTTATGATTTATTTTAAGCAGCTTTAGAACTAAGGACATTAATAGCACTACTGTTTATCTTCAGTTTGAGAATAGCGTTGCCTCTGACCGTAACAGAGCGTTCAGTGCTCGCACTGGGCGTTCAGAAGTGCCTGAAAGATGCCGTAGAAGATGTCAGGATCTCCTGTCCTTACTCAGCAAGTGTGTCAGCATGAGGCAGAGGGATGGATTGAAAAGCCAAAGTTAGGGCAAAATGAAAAAATGAAAACACTATGGCAGTGCAGAGCACATTAAACAAAATCCCACCTATGTAATTATATTCGTGTATTATTCCAATAACTGCAGGCAAGGTAAAACTGAATTTTAAAAGCAAACCTGAATTTCCCATAGTTGTCTGAAGAATGTTAGTTTCCAAGGGACAGTATCAAGAAAGCTTTGAGTAGAGAGTGAGGACATTTAACCCTGAGCAGCTGTTAATCATTCGTGTGGATGGTCTGGACTGTGTTTGGACTATCACTTCCTCCACTTTCTAAGGAAAATCAATTTATCTAAAGCTAGATTCCTTAGAAAATAATCTTCTGAAGAGTGATGTTTTTGTTTTTCTGAAACACATCTTCATCTTTTCTTTCATGCACAAAAACTACTGTTCCAATGTCTCTCAATATCTGGGATATTGAGGGATATTTGGGATGCACTTCAGGAATGGATGGTAGATGTTACTTAACTTCCAGGAGTCCGTAGAAGCACCATATAGTACTTTGCTGCAGAAATTGAAAGCGGTATCTGAAATAACAAGTAGAAAGTATTGCAGGGCCCTGATTTCRTGTGATTCGGACTTCACAGAAGAAAACAGAGAATTGAGGTACATGGTGTATTCAGTGAACAGCTTCAAAGCTGAACCCAGCAAGACCGTGTTGCTGGTTGAAGGCCTTTTCCAGCTTGACAAGTTAATCAAATGAATGTTCATTCAGCCTGCCAAGGGGAAGATGCAAATGCCCGGGGGAAAAAATGCAGTAGATGTATGTGGCATACAAGGTGGCATACAAGTTGAATAGATTTGGGAGTATGTAAACAAACTAGATAGTAAATCAGAAGAGCTGTCTTTGTTCTTCACAGTGATTTTGCTGTATACAGCATGATCACAGGTTAGCCCTCCTCAGAGCATGTGCAGGAGACACGAAGCTGCAGTAGACTGGAGCCACGGCAGAAAGAGAAGAAACGGGGATGAGGGAAGTAACATGGTTTGAGTTTAGCTCCTTGGGGCTCCTTGGAGCTCTGCTTTCACATGGACAGTAGAAACGAATGATAATTCATCTTACAAAGTATTCTTTAATGCATGATGTACAGGGGATATATATTAAATTGCCCAAATGCATCTCAGGATGTGATGCCCTGCTGTACCACAGGGCTAGGCCAGCCCTCCGAATCCTCCGAACTTATTTCTCAACCATATTAGGATTTAGGCCTGAGCCTTGTTAAGGCAACCAGCTTTGCTGTCCTGTTCTTTGCAGTCTGTAACTCTCTCTGAATTAGCTAAACAACTGTGTCATGTATAATAAGAATCTCTTCCTAAGGTTTTAATTCTCTTRCTGCTTTTGGCTATTTTGTGCTGCAGTGAAGAGCTACGGAACATAAACGTGGGACCAAACTGCGTGGCTTTAAACCAACCTTTTGTTTCTGTTTTCCATTCTGTCCATCTTCCTCTCTGTCTTGTCTYACCCGGCCTCAGAGTGATCTCATTGCTCCTATCGCGCCGGTGGYGGAGTCGGTAGATCCTGCGTCGTGGAGGCAGGGCTTGCGCAGAACTGGCATTGTGCTTGTGCCCAGTAAGGGTGAAAAGGCTCTGGTGAGGCTCTGCTGTGCACAGGTTTGGGTACAGGCTGCGAAATAACATCTTTAATCCGAATGTTCATACCAGAGTTGCATGGTTTTGAGTTTGTGGAAGCTTCTGTTTGCATCCCCTGATCATAGTGTGTGTTCCAAGGAGTGGGTTTTTGCAAGCTAACTTTTAGAGGAGTAGCATTTCCTGAGCAGTCTTCTGTTTCTTATCTCATTAATTAATTCAAGAAAAGAGTGTCCAGGTTATCTTTTATCACAAAACCCCTGAAAATCCAACACTTCTGTGATTGTTAAAATTACTTCTGATCTCAAGTCTCCATGAAAAGCATGAATGAGTTTACAGAGAAATTTTAAATTAATAGCCTTTAATTTGCTACTGTGTTTTGTAGTTTCCAACRTCATCAACCAAGGTTTCTCCCAAAGAGGAGGAGAGGAAAGATGAATCTCCAGCTTCTTGGCGGTTGTGTCTTCGAAAAACTGGTAGTTACGGTGCCCTCGCAGAGATTACTGCTTCCAAGGAAGCTCAGAAAGAAAAGGACTCTGCGGGGGTCATGCGCTCCGCTTCAAGCCCTAGACTCTCCTCTTCGTTGGACAACAAGGAAAAGGTAATGGGTTTCAGTGGGCGCCAACGTTTTGAAGAGCTGCTCTACTGCAATTAGCCTGAATGTTAATGACGTCTTGTGAACGTGCGCTGTCATTAGAGTGTACACCATGCTCCCTAGCACTATGCCAGCAAGTTAAATTGTGCAGCTTTAGTCTCTTCAGAGAATCATATGCATCTCTACTTACTTAGAGGACCTTCATCATCGTCTTCCTAAGTCTGGGGCTCTGGGGACTTGTACTGCTAAGGGGTACTATTTGGAGGTTAAGGGAGACCAGAGAATTGATATGCATCACTTGGAGAGTGGTGTTGAAAGAGTCTTAAAAGAAGGAAGGTCTTTTTGCATTCCATAGTCATTTTTAAAGGTGTTAATGTCAGTAACTTCAACACACYGAGCCAACCAAAGGACTGATTTGGTCCAGTTAACTGATCAGCATATAACTTCCGTGGTTCTGTTACAGTTACAGATGTCTAAATATGTTTTCAGGATTAAGATTAATACTACACTGCTTTCAATCATGAATTTTGGAGTTGTGCTGCAGTAAAGTAGAAACCTCAGAATTGAAATCAGTGTTATCACCGGAATGAAAAGAGTTTTTAATTCCTGGTGTAGCCCTTATGAACTTCAAATTCACATGAAAGCTCATGTATTATTGGAATAACAGAATAATAGAAATATGACTGATGTTGTCTTAATGATTGTTTTCCAACCAGTAGAATTATAATCAGTGATTGTAATACTGATTAAAAAATACATATATTTTAGGAAAAAGATGGAAAAGGAACTAGACTTGCTTACGTTGCGCCAACAATACCAAGACGACTGGCCAGTACCTCTGAYATTGATGAAAAAGAAAACAGGTGACTATGAAGAAAATCACTTCTGTTGAATATGAAATTAGTTCATTTTAGAAAGTCTGACAACTTTACAATTATAAAGACAAAAYGCTAATTTGTAGCATTATCCTGGTTCATAGATTATGTTAATACATAGTGTAATCCAGTTTCCAAATGTGTGCAGCCCATCTAAATTGTAATTATCCATTTTAAACTCCAAACTATGATATGACAAGAGCAGAATCGGGTGTAGAGGAGAAATAAGAAAAATACAAAATCATGAAACTGCCTAGCAGTCCAGAAGTTAAGGAGTACTAAGAACTGCTTTGTGTTGAGTTCTTCTTAGTTTGTTAGCGTCTTTCATATTACTTGGCCAACTTTGTATATCTTTGATTAGTTTTATTCTTCATTTTTTAAATTTTCTTTGAGATTGAATTTACTGGTCAGCTTTGGTTTGTTTTCAACACTGGTCTTATTTCATTTTTTTATTGTTTTGAGATTTGCTTAAAGACTCATTCTCCAGAGACTAGGTAGTATTTTAAGAATGGGCGAAGATTGTGGTTTCATTTTTGCGTAACTACTGTTTCGTGTTGCAAGGAGACTAAATTCTGCTTTAGTGTTGAGGTGTACTTGCCTAACTGACCTACCAGTCTTAACCATCATGWTATATAGAGAGACATCATTTCAAATGAAAGCTGCTATCAGCAAAATCCTATTTTTCTAATGTGCATTGGGTGACCTGAAGTCATCAGTCTCATTGAAAACAACTCGAGCACCCTTTTTATTCCTGGGAATGCCAGAGATGAAGGCTACTTATACCCCAGTCTGTGAGGGCACGAATACCTTGGCTACTGCCTGATTTGCCAGACAGCCCAGRTTACTTACGTAAAGCCATAAGGTATTTTTGATGTTTGGTCTGACTTCCTTGACGTGTAGAGTTCAACCATCTGCTGGTTTGGGTACCGTGATGAGCCATGAAGGTTTCTGCTCTGCCTTTGCCTCTCATCTCTGTTCTTGTTGTTTATCTTCTTGTTGCATTCTTGTTCTGCCTGTGTGGACACCTGCTTGTCTGGCTTGCAGCTCGTTAGTGTAAGCCAGATAACTTCCTGTGGCTGGTCCTGCAAAGCACTTCCAGATGGATCCCAGCTGGGCTTTTAGATAAACAGGTCTCCGGCTCTCAGCCTTGCTGGAGTGGCTGATTCTGCTSCAAAAGGGCTGAAATCTGTAGTGTCTTGGCAAAATGATCCCTTCTGGCAATTAAAAGGTTTATCTTGCTTCAGGACCTTCATACATGTGTGGCAGAGTTAGTGTTTCTCTTTGGTATTAACAGGAAACACTGTGTTGGATGTGAAGGATTTGATCCTTCTYGAAACTTGCAGTTGCAGGAGGGCTGGCAGACCTTGTTGTGCAAAAAAAGGTTTGCAGTAAATTCTGAAGATCTGGAGACAAGTATTTGAGCACCTTACATTTTTGCAAGATTTTGTTGTATTTTCCCTCACAAACTTGAATACTTTCTATATGTAGTTTTATGAAAGATAGATCCCTTTGTCCTCCCTCTCCTCCCTCCCCTTCCTCCTTTTCCTCTCTTTCCATTGCTGTTTCTGGTAGAAACTGAAGTTTTTATATCTCYGAATTAACCTTTGAGGTAATTTTTCTAGGTAGCTTTTTTACAAGGTTATTTCTAGCCGCCATAAACCGCAGCAACAGGCTGGACATTCGTTCTGGCTCAAGGATGGGCAGCAGGGGACATGCAGCCCACGGGCCGTGGCTCGCAGCCTCTCGCATGCGGCGCCAGTGTCTTGTGCTCCACATGCTCCACAGCCTCGGAGCTTCCCATCGCAACATCCCAAAACGCAAGAAGCTTCCAAAATCAACTTCTGCAGCAGACAGAGTTTGCTGTYGTTTCCCTTTAGTTATCCAAAAGTTCCCTTTGGTTTCCCTTTGATTCCACCTTGTAGTAGCCGGTGGAAAAACTGCTTTGAATTCTTAAAAAGAAATGGTCCACCTAAAAGTTGGTGATTTGTTTAGTGTGAATGAAATTCCCGTCAACATTTTGGATATTTGTTTTCTGCTACATTTCTACCACTGTTAATCTGAATGCAGTGTTCTTCCACAGGAGCTTGAAAAGGTCTATCTGCAAAAGGTTATTGCTGTTCTGCACTCTTACATTTATAAGTCCCAATCCTCCACACTTTTCCTCTTTAATTTGAAACTCCTTTTAAGCTCCCTTCAAAAAGAACCTGCTTTAATATGAGTTTGCAAAAATATAATATTTTTTACAGGGAGTCATCTGCTAGCTCAATACGTGGTGGCAGTTCATACACAAGAAGAAAATGGGAGGAAGATGCTAAGAAAAACAGTTTGAATGAAGGTCCTACATCATTAAACACAAGCTATCAAAGAAGGTGCAGGATTTTCTCTTGCGTTTTTGGGTGTTTTTTTTTTTATGACATAACTCTGCTCCATTCTAAAATTTCAGTGTGACTGAAATAAGTAAAGTTCTTCATTGGATTTACTTTTTGCAGGAGCGGACAATAAATATTTAAAATGAACAGATAGATGAAAAGTTTGTCATTCACATAGCTAAGCTGCAAAGTGAAATACACTGATGGTTTACATTGTGACAGGAACTTAAATGCTTCCTTATGCCCTTTTTCTGTGTCATGACATTCACGTAAATTTAGTGGCAGCCTGTTTCATACCACATAATACCTAATTTGATATTCCTAATGTTGGATGTAAGAGAATTATTGCCCAAATCTCATACTCTTGCTCGAAAATGGCCACAATTGATTTATGAGACCAATCTTTGTGGATGTTAACTTTCACAATGTTTATGCTTCAGCCCTCAAATGCAGTACAGTCTCACTTTAAATAGTATGTGGTGCTTTTATTGTGGTTTTTTTTTTCCTTTTTTTTTCCTTTTTTTTTTTTTTGCCCTTTAAGGATTCATAGGAATAAGAAAAAGATCAATAGCAGAATGACAAACAAGCATACTTCATCAAATTCTCTGTCACTAGTAATACTGTGTTCTGTCTGTCCTACCTGTGGGATGCTAAGTTTAGGCATGGGGCAAACATCCTCACATGGCCATACAAAACTTGTTTAACCAGAACCAACTGATAGAATTGGGGAAACCACTGGCTTGTCTTTGCAGCTTGAAGGGAAAAGAATAAGTAGGAGGTCAGTCTTTCTGGGAGAGGTTAGAGCTAAAAACAGAAAGCAAGTAGGCAAAGAAAACCTGCACATTTAATTTTTTGAAAGATATGAGAGGAACAATGTTGATGACATTTTTGTTTTAGTCGAGCTTTRGAGTAAACTTCTGTATTTTATGAGACCTTCAGTGTGGGTGAAACAGTGTTTTGAACACAGGGCATTAGGAGCCCTAAGTGGTAGATGGCAGTAGATGCAATCAAGGCAGTAATACACAGAGGTGTGAGGTGCCATTTCTCTGTCACCTGTTCCTGTGGGGAAACGGTCAGGGCTAAGGGATCCTTCTCTCTGCCTCTGAAGCCGTAATTCCAAGGCCTCAATCAAGGAAGTAGTGAAGATAAAGGCTTTGGACAAGGTTTCTTTTGCTCCRAGTTTCCAAGGCCTGATTGAGATCCAGAACAGACAGGCAGGAATTTGGTGGATGTGATACTTTGATGAACATGAGAGTAATCCATGAACTAAGTAATCCAAATGCCTCTGCTGCAAATGTCTCTCCTTCAGTGGCTCCTTTGGTAGAAGACAAGATGATTTGATTAGTTCTAGCGTTCCAAGTACTACATCAACAGTTACCTCTTCGGCTGGTCTTCAGAAGACACTGCCCGCCAGCACAAACACTACTACAAAGACTACAACGGGTTCTACTTCGGCAGGTGTACAAAGCAGGTAATGGCACCAAGGTGCTTTGGTTTTGTTTTTTATGGTTTGTTTTTTATTTGTCAGGTCTATTATGTGCTTATGTACGTGCATGCGTTTTTGTTTAGTAGATCCTGGGGTTCTGGATTTTTTCATTTTTCTGTTAAATTTGGTTTAACTTCATACAATTCGGCTCAAAATTCTCAGTGGCTGTCTGCTGTAAAGTGGCAGCCATGTTGGTTAAAAAAAGAATAAATCCAATGTCAGAAGGATTAAGAATAAAGGTTCAGTTATTGCGAACTGTTTCATTCTTAATTTCTTCCATTCGATAGCTCAAAGTTGAGCTTTCATAGCCGAGACATTTCTCAGTWTGCTTTTTAAAAAATAAAAAAAATCCATCCCTCAATTTACATGTTATTAGATGTTCAGTAAAGTGCTTTCATTGTTTAGCTGTTTCCTTTTCTCTTTTTTTGTGTTGCTGCTTGTTTATGCTGTAGTACCTCAAATCGTTTGTGGGCTGAGGATAGTACTGAGAAAGACAAGGACAGTGTTCCTACAGCAGTGACCGTTCCTGTTGCACCATCTATTGTAAATGCTACAGCCACTACCACAGCCATGACTACAGCTACTTCTGGCACTGTGTCCTCAACATCAGAGGTCAGGGAGAGACGGAGGTGTGTAAAGGTCCTAAGAGTCATCTTGCTCTTGTACAAAAGTAATGTTCTTGCTTGTGTAAAGGAATGTGTTGGTTACCACGAATTTGGATTGGACAATGGGTGAAGCCGTTTTGCTTGCTTACTGCATATTAAAACAACCAGCAACGTACCTCAGTTTGTATTAGAAATTAATAACAAGAATTAATACCAAGAAATTAATACTGGTTTGTGAAACTTCTGGACTCTAGATTTTTGGGTATCTTTGAAGTCTCATTTGGTATGTGTGTTTGCTTATTTGTATTTTTATTAGTAGATTAAATGAGTCCTCTCAAAAATATCTATAATGGAATTATGTAAAAACGCTGGAAGAAATAAGAAAATTGATCATTAGCTACTTATTACAAGCACATTGTGGCCATTTGAGCTACTGTGCCACTGATGGTATGCTAACAAGTTACTATGTGGCTTTGTGTTTCAGTCATTTTGTAGGCCTGGCCTTACTGAGAGACGACTGTGAACCAAACACATTCTGTTTATTTCTTCGGGTAATTTAGGGTCTCTTCCATTCAAAAAATATGGTACAGTTTTAAATATAATGGTTTAAATGTTATTTAGTATGAAGAATGAATAAGAACTGATGTAAATCTTATTTTAAGAATGCAAACTATGTACTCTTATATGGAGAATGAGTTCTGATTGGTGCATGTTTATATTGCCATAAATAGTTGTTATCTCCTATTTATAGATGCATAGCTCACAAAGTTGTTAAATGCTGTTAGTTTTCTCTGGGTTTTGCTTATTATACGGCTATTTATAAATGTTTGTCCCCTTACGCCTCTGCTAAAATATAAGTTGGGAGTTCTGTGTTGCTCCTGCAGGAGTTCTGAAGTGGAAATCCTATAGCAGCACATATATTGCAGTGCTTTTGTGGCGGTGATGAAGCTCTTGCTACAGGAGAAACCTGAACTGTTGCAATTCACACTAGGGAGCAACAAAAACCTTTGAAGATTCYGCAGCTTATGGCCCATTCAGGATATTTGTAGGCTCTTTTTTTCCTGTGGTGCCCCATCGTGGGGTGAAGTAGCTTTTGTGAGAAGAGGTGTTTCTCCCTGCCCGCCGAGCTGCAGTCACAGCAGTTACAACGTGTTCTGATAACAACCTGTGATTTTCCATATCAAATTTTGACAGCACCCAACAAAGCAATCTCTTTGCAGCATTCATAAAAATAGAGTCAAGCAGTAGATAAAAGCTATCTGCAATAGGCCTGAAGTTTCTTACCTTTTAATCATTTACCTGACTCTGGGCTGATTGTGTAATGCACTGTTGTAGAGGCCATTCTTCATGCTGTACTAAAATACCCATTAAGTCTTAGATACCAGAAAAAATCGAAATGACTACCATGTGCATTGAAAGGTTGTGCCTTAAATATCTGCACATGTATGAGAAGCGAAGTTGGTTAATCTATATTTATAGAGTAAAATATATATATTTGGGAGGTATTTTTGAAATAACTTCAAAGAGTATTTGAAAAGTAAACACCTTACAGACTACTTTTAGTAGCGAATTATGTAGTGATGCGTCATTTTGGAGTGAACTAAAGAAGCTGTGCTGCTTATCTAATTTGCAGGCTTGGTTTAGAGCAGAAGGGAAGAGCATGATGAACTGGTAGCCTTAAAATCTTTGGAGCATAAGCAAAATGGCACAGTTAACCTATAGGGCATTTACAAGGGATCCTAGAAAGAGCCCTTTGATTCCTACTGCATGAACCTGACAGAATCACAGAGTCACRGAACGGTTGAGGTTGGAAGGGACCTCTAGAGATCATCCAGTCCAACCCCCTGCTCCAGCAGGGACACCCAGAGCACGGGGTACGGGGCGGCATCCAGGCGGGTTGGGAAGATCTCCAGAGAAGGAGACTCCACAGCCTCCCTGGGCAGCCTGTGCCAGGGCTCTGTCACCCTCATAGGGAAAAAGTTCTTCCTCATGTGGAGATGGAGCTGCCTGTGTTTCAGCTTACACACTGTCCTGTCACTGGGCACCACCAGAAGACAATAGGGTTACAGTTTCCCTTGCTGGGAGTGCAGTGGGAGCAGCTGGGGCGGCACAGCCGCCATTGCCAGGCCTGGGCGTGGCTCCAGTGTGTAATGGCGGCGGGGCCGGCCTAAGGCTCAAGCTCGCACTGCCTGGCCTGCGCCATGGACCTGACTGCTCCACGACCCATGCGGGCCAGCTGCCCAGGAGAGAGCTAGAGCAGCTAACAGGCACCCTTTCCCTGCTATAGCTAGGGCCTTGTGCTTCCTAGGGGGATTTTGGAAGCGTTTCTCAAGTGATTTAGAAGGATGAGATCGCCTTGGCTTAGCCTTGTTTTGGAGCTGGTTTTGGCGTGCACTAGCTGATAAAGGTGCTACGGGGTTGACAGCACAACTGTTCATTCTACAGAAGGATGGTTCAATTGCTACTAGCCAGTGGTTTCTCAGACATAGAACATTTGAATCCTTAGCCAGATATTTTTATATAATCAAATTAAAACAGACACAATCAGAAAATGTTTAAATCTGAGTTTACTAGTTTAGTACAGCTAGTTTTGTGATCTGAAGAGGCTCAGAAATGGTTTTGTATGTTGTGAAAGCAGCTTTTAGCAACCTTCAGCTTTTCCTTTTTTTGATCTTTAGCAAATGTGACGATTAAAAAAAAAGTTCAGGATTAGACTGCTAGAACATTGCCAGAATATCATTTAATAGAATRTGATCAAGTGCATTAAGAACTTCCAAATTATTTAGTTTTTTGTTAAGATGCATAGCTGGCACCTAATCCACTGCTGATGGAGAAGGAGGAGGAGGATGCAATAAACATGATCCTTTGGGCCCATCTGGCCTTTTATTAAAAGAGATGATGCAGGGTGTGATACTTCCATAGATGTTGCTTTTTTGATTGCCATTTTTGTTGTTTTAAGCTGCTATTCTCTGAGTTGGAGAATTTATTTGAAGAGTCCAGGCCTGTGTCTCTTTGTAGTCCCTTGGCCGGAACCATCTGGCAGTTCCCTGCTAACTCAGCAGAGCTTCTTGTGTGTGTTCTGCGGAATTTATTTTCAAATACGAGGTTTTTTTTTTTGAAAGGGAGCTGTCTTAACCGAATTATGGATTATTCATGTGAAAATGTGGTAACTGCCTGCTCAAAGATTTTTAATCTCTGATGCCATACGTGGTATAATGAGTCATTCTCCATTAGCTGTACTTGAAAGCCTACATTCTATTAAAGGTACACACACACACACACACACAAATATCTTCTGTGTATATGTAAGTGTAAGAGGTGCTTTACTCTTACATTGGCAGACTGGTGAAACACCAAAAAAGCTTGTTATATTTACAGGAAACTGTGAACACAAATGTAAGGAGGAAACTACGTATTTTAATTGAGTAGCAAAGCTACAATCTTGATGAATAGGACATGATGATGTCTAAAATGTAATCGATCTTTAAATATTTAGATAGGTCCAATGTATTCAGTTTAAAAATGTGAACTTTTTTTAAAGAAGATGTATGTATTCATATAGTATTTTATTACAATTTTCTTCCAACTATCTTTTCAGTCTTTTTTTTTTTTTTACTGTTTAATGTGTCACACAAAAATAATTCCTATTTGCTAATTTTCTTTGTAATTAACTCTTTAGATCATACCTCACTCCAGTAAGGGATGAAGAGTCAGAGTCCCAAAGAAAAGCTAGATCCAGGCAAGCAAGGCAGTCCAGAAGATCTACACAGGTACAATTTTGTTATAACTTCTGCATTTATGGAAACACACCCATGTAGCTCTCTGAGTACAGTGATGTTTCAGTTTGCCAGTAAAGATCCAAATAAGAGGATTTGTTTTCCTGATATAAAAGTGTACCAACAGAGGAAATACATGCCTTTTTTTTTTCTTTTTCTTTTTAACTTTCTTATGAAAGAAAGCTGTGCACTCTCTCCATTGTGCACTTCAGGTTTGGTTTTTCTAAACCAAAGAAGGACTCAGTGCAAATTTGAGAGGCTTTTGATTGCCCTGTGGTAAAATGGCTTATTGAAGGAATTGCACCCCTTGTTATGGAGATATCTGAACATAAGGCTTTGAATTCTTCAAGAACTAACAGCCATATGCTATAGCTCAAGATTTTACATGAGAAAAAAAGGCATAATATACTGTATTATTTCAGTTTCTAAGCCTTTTTCTGCATTTGGACTATTAAAGATGTATGATTGAACTGATTGTATGGATAGCTAAGCAAGGATTCATGTCATGAAAAAGTAAACTTTGTTTCTGTGCATACAGAGGAGTGCTGGTTGACAGCTTTTTTTGTATTTGCAATCTAATCTAATATTTTAATAATCTAATAATATATATGCTGTCTAGAATCTAATAGTATGTCACCTCTCAGAGTCTCTCTCTGAGTTTAGGTACTGATTTATTTGGTGGTTCTTCACTGTTTCTGATGGAACTATCTTACATTATTGAATTTCAATCAGCGCAGTCCTCATACATAAATGGATGTGACAGTGGCAAAGTAGGTGATCCTTAAACATTACTTGAATGCTTTCAGAGCAGCCAAGTGATTACCAACCATTATTCTCTGGGAAGTGTTTTTCTCCATCTCTTTTTCTGTCTGCTGTCAGATTGAGAAAAATCAGCAGAGTAGGTCCTGGATAAAGCAGAATAAAGAAATAGCCACCGTCCTCTCTGCTTTAAGACTGAGTCAATAACTAAATTGACTGCTGATGTTACTTACAAATCTTTGTGATTGCAAACACCTTAAATACTTCTGGTAACATTTCCTGTTGAGAGGCCTGCACTGTTTGATGGGATCATCCCAGGGCAATTCCTTTTTGCCTCTTGCTACTCATTGACAAACCTGAAAGACTGTCAGATCATAGGCTGAATATTGTGGAACCTCTACAGTGAACAAGCTACAGGAGATTACTGTATTGCCACAGTATCAGGACAAAAAGCAAGGAAATAACTGATGACAGCAGCCCAAAAATTGACTTTGAAGAATAAATCACGTATAGTATTTCAGGAGTGTTTCAGGCTGAAAGTGTAGTAAAGCTGTATTTTTTTTTTCCTTTCAAAAATTGTTAGCTTTCAGAGCTTATTTCAAAAACTATTTTTAGTTGGAGAATCTTAAGAATGAATTATAACTTTCTCTGTCTCTGCTGTCATTGAAGCTTAGTATATAATGATTTCTGCATGATTTGTGTCTATGTAGTAGTTCAGTTGAAAYATTTGCTGATGAATCTGTTGTAGATCACATCAGAGCAAAAATTGCTGATCCAGAAGTGACACTTGGTTCCAAGACTTGAAAGAAAAGCTTATAGGTAGAATTTATTTCTTAATGGGTAGAAATAATTTTTTAAAGCTGAATTTTGTATTTAAAACTGGCTTACATGGCGCGATCATCTAGAGTAATGCAAGTTGAGCAATATATTGAATAGTTGTTTGCTCACTGCTTGTTTTCACAGGGTGTAACATTGACAGATCTTCAAGAGGCTGAAAAAACTATAGGAAGAAGTCGCCCCACACGAACCAGAGAACAGGAGAATGAAGAAAAAGAAAAAGAGGAGAAAGAAAAGCAAGATAAAGAAAAGCAAGARGAAAAGAAAGAATCTGAAACGAAAGATGATGATTATAGACAAAGATATTCCCGAACTGTTGAAGAGGTATTTTCATGATGGGTCTCTTTAGGTAGAGAAATTACATGAGTCTTAACTCCAATTATACTATTACACATTTGGTATTACCATAAATATTTATGTACACATTTATATGTTTTACTGTCYTATTTTTGTTTTGCTTACTATCTAAATTAATTTTGACATTTTTCTGCTGAATAGCCATATCATCGCTATAGACCAACTTCAACTTCAGCTTCTTCGTCATCCACCTCTTCGCTCACCACCTCCACTAGCTCGCTTTCAACTTCAAGTCAACTAAACAGACCAAACAGCCTTATAGGTATAACTTCTGCCTATTCTCGGAGCGGAACAAAGGAAGGTGAGAGAGGTAGGAGTACTATATGTGCAGGGATGTCTTGGGTTTAATTGTCAAAGACAGATTATGTTCCTAAAGATAGTTTGTGCGGTATGTAAAGCCAGTCAAGATATATCTTACTCTACTTTCGTATAAGAAGTTGCACAATTTTCATATAGAGAAGAAAAACAGATTTTCATCCTGTGAGTTTGAGCCTGGGTTTTTGCCTTGGTGGATTGTAGGAAAGTCAACAAGTCCCTGCCATCACTGTGCCCCCAAGTATTTTAATTCCTGCTTTAAAAGAGCAATAACATCTGTCATAAAATACTACACTTGAGTAGTTTGAAAGTAGTTTGAATAGTTRTTTGCAGGTATTGAGGGAAATTATACCTGATTAAATAATTACTGAATATTTTAATTTTCTTCCTCCGAAAAATACGAGGAATTGATAACTGATGAAGTGGAACGATGCACTCTCATGGTTTCATTAACAACTGGAAAAGGAGGAGACCCATTTTTGGTAGCAGTGTGGTGGTTGCTTGTCGTATTTCATGGAATCATATGCAACTTGTTTATCTAATCTTATGCAGAAGATTAGGTTGTTAGACTTAGATGTCAGAAAAAAGCTTTTCTTGGATATTGTAGAGTTTTTACCATCATTTCACATGTGAATCACCAGTTACAATTCTCAGAGATCTCTTGCCTTTTTAGTTGGCTATGAAAAGGCATGTTAACTAGRGAGAAATGTTTGAACGAAAATTACTGATTCAGGATACAGTTACTGTTCGAAATTAATAGGTTTCTGATACAGAGGATCTGATTAAAGGTGCCATGGATCTCAAATATCCAATACTGCCATCTTCTGTAGATGTTTTTTTTTTCTGAAGATGTTACTGAGTCAGCTTCAGGGATGTGCTTGCTTTTGTTTCTTCTTTTCTGTTCTGACATGAACATGAAAAATTTGGATTCAACTTTTTCAGTAATAACATGCTTTCCTTAGGAAATTTCTTCTAGACATTTCTATGGACATGATCCTTATGTAAATACTAGTTACAGAAGGCTTTTCAGGTTATAATTTTAGGGTGAGAAACATATTACCATTGGAAAGGCAAGAGGTAAAACTGTAATATATTTAATTGAGAAAGATGAATATTTGTATTTTCTTCTTTTCTATTTTATTCTTGCTTCGTGGTAACATATTCATTTAGCTCATAAGGCTAGTGATGGTACAGCTCATTAGCAGTGATGCTTGGATCTGCACCTAAATCTGTGTTTCTTGCTTTAATACAAGACTAGCAGATTGAATAATAGGTAAATAACTTGGAAAATATTTTCTTCTGTACAAATTATTTGTTAATGTGTAGGTGATCGATCAGATTCCTAACCTGTTTACTCAGTGATGAGTGGCAACTGTCTTTCTTCTACAGAAAAAGAGATTTATAATATCGTATTAATTCAGCCTGGAAGATTCTGTTCTTCAGAGGGGAGAATAGAGAGGTCTGTAATGAAAGAGTGGATTCTGAATCTTTTAGRGAAGAATTGTCAGACATCAGAAATTTTTAATATGGGTGTCTTGATGCATAGAAGTAGAAACAAGTAGGAAATTACTTATTTGATACAGAATGGCAGGGAATTGTCTTATACTTTTATAATGCTGTGTTTCATACAATGTCTGTTGTTACAGATGTWATTCTAGTTATGTGACAGTTCTAAGAAAATGCATCTTAAATCCAATTTGTAGTGTACTAACGCTATACTGAAACATTTTGTTTAGGTAGTTCAGATGGAATTAATATTTTACAGTTTGACAATTCGAACAATATTTGCAGTACTTTAGAGCTGCATACTAAGGAATGTGTATTACTACAAAATCTGTATGGGAGAAGGAGCTCTGTAGCTAATTTATTTTGGGTTAAAACATTCATTCTAAGTATTGTAAAAGATGGAGAAATATCTGAGAAGATTAAATAATTTCTGTGTCATAATTAAATGAACAAGCAAGCTTCTATTAACAGAAGGAGGCAAAAAAGAGGAAGAAAAGGAGGAAGATAAGTCACAAACTAAATCAATAAGGGAAAGACGGCGACCAAGAGAAAAACGACGACCTACAGGAGTCTCTTATTGGACTCAAGATGTAAGTGAAAGATTATTACTACTAATGTAAAGCCACAGTTTGCAGAATACAGAATGTGTACTGTGCCTTCTTACAATAGAGTATAGTTTAGAGGAGTATGGTATCTAACTTTGTTCTGGGAAAAGTGTTTCAAGGTATGTTTCCATGCATCTCTTCGGAAACATTCACAAATGAAATAAAAATGCTATGAATTATGTTGATAATGCTAAAATGAATTCTGAAGGCTCTAATAACCAACGCATAGTAAGAATGAATTATAGTATTTATGTAAGGAAAACAAATCATCAAACAATTATTTTCTATTGCACATATGCTGCAGCTGCAACATATCCCGTATATGCTCTATACATTTTCAGTTAAGTACTATTCTAACAGTCAACTTTCAACATCTTAATTATTCTTCATCTCTCCTTCTTTCACCAGAGTGATGAAAATGAACAGGAGCACCAGTCAGATTCAGAAGAAGGAACAAATAAGAAAGAAACTCAGGTAATCACGAAAGATTAATTCACTTGTTATCATTCTAACAGATTCTGTTTTGATTGTGAAGCTGGGACTGCAGCTGGATTCAGTTAGACGAGAACATCTYGTAGATTTACGAGTTTTATTGAGTGCTTTCTGATTGGTAACTTGCTGCTATGTTTCAGTTCCATTTGCTTTGCAGTTTTGTGCGTATATCTTTGCTTACTCTTTTCTGTTATTTTCAGTGAAATTATGTCCTGTGACTAATACACACGAACTAGAATCTTTTCTGTATTCAAAGCAATGCTGTTGGTAAAGTAATAATGCATATAATGCATATAAAACCAAAGCTTGAAAGCTGAAGAGCACATTCTGTGTGATTTCCCCTTTGGGGAWTGGATTTCCAAACATCCTATTTCTGTATCACTGGTCTTGTTAAAAGGACAGTGAAAAACAGTGTAAGGGGCTTTATGTGATTAGAACATTCCTTGTAATCTGATTTGTGTATGAATGTGGGATGATGAGAAAACTTAAAAAGGAAGTGGTAACCTACGCTATACTATAAAACGTGGGAAAATATATGTCTTTTGGCCTAACCCCAGGAGTTAGGAGTTTCTTGAATGAGAAAATTCAAGTGATTGCTTGTTGTTGTTTTCCTAAAAGCTTCCATTACGTATTTCTTAACTCTCTCTTCACTCAAAGTAATTATTTGGTATTCAGTGCAGTGGAAATTCATTTTGGTAGAATATGTATGCTGTGCTCCTGATAGAATTAGACTTATGTAAAAGTGCAGTCATAGAATGGTAAATCAGGCCAAAATTATAAATATGATATATATTTAAAAGGACATGTATATTGGGATGAGGTAGTGAGGTAGTAGAGAAGAATGTAGAATTTGCAACCTAATTTTGACTTAGAAATCTAGTTCAGAATCCTATTTCAAATTTCCAGCATTTTCTAGGCCATGTCTTTTGGAAAAGACATTAGTAGTTTGGTTTGATTATAAATCAATATAATGTCAGGTTTGAGTTCATAGAAAGCTCTGAAATAAACTTTTAAATGTGGAAATTGATTTCTCTGTCACACAGCTGTGTAAATTGATTTTGCTTCCTTAATATAAGGTGGTTTGTCATATCAGCTGAAGAAAATATGAGACAGAATGAAAGTGAGTTGAATATCAAAAGAACTATTTAAGGAGTTTTAACATCTTTTTTTCAAACCTACTATTGAATTTCCAGTCTTGTTTTGAAATTCAGGAGAATGTTCTACACTTAATAATATTACACTCCTTTTAACTGAGAAGTATCTTTAAAATTCTATACATTTAGTATGCATATAGTTTCATTGATTTCTTATTAGTTTTTTCTTTTGCCCACCAACTGTTTATGAAATTGTATGCATGAGATTTAAAACTTTATGTGGATTTCAGTTTTGTTATTTTCCCTGATGAATAACCATTTTCGAGACTGGTACACTGAGAAGTAAATGTTTGTTATTCAGTATTTTGCCGTCCCTATAAAAATGAGAATAGAATATGCATTCAGCATAGCCAAACAGGAAATTTATTATCAAGTATATAAAAAAGGGTGTTTGACAAAAGTCCTTTCACATTTCCCAAAGGACAAATGGAAGGAGATTTGGGATAAACTAAAATTATAGAGAAAAGTTAAAATAAAACTCAGAAAATGTTTTTTAATTGCGCTGATTATGCGCTATTCAGAAGCTGCTATTATGTGCTTTTATGTTTTATGTGCTATTCAGAAGAAAGAAATCTTGGAAATACTGAATTTCTCCCTTATGCGGTGCTGCTGTTGTTTTTATTGCTTGAGGAAGCTACAAGCCAGAGGTAGAAGATGGTAACTACAAAATTCCAAAAGCTTTGGCAGTAACTCAAGAATTCAAACTAACGAGAAGAGGTCAAGAAMAATTGCACATGCTACAAAGAAAATTGAAGAGCTGTAGACAAAATAATTTCTAGCCTGAGATCTTTCAGGAACCTGACAAATGTGTTACATTATTCATTTCAGAGGTCTTTGAAAGAATAGACTTAAGATTGTGCTTTCTTATTCCATATACCAAAATTGGCTCCTGACTGCTTAGTTGCTTGTTTATCCATAAAACAGAACTGTGTTAAGGAGAAATCAGACTTTGCTAACAGCTTAGAAGTTGAAGGTCATTGTGATGAAGTTTGGTTTGGACTTTTTAGTGCTAGGAACTGGAATTTTTCAAGACAATGTTAAGACTGTCATGTGCGGGAAGCCGGTGTTTCTCTAAGAGGGCTGAGCTCAGCGCTGAGCTGCAGTGCTGGAGCTCAGTCACTGCCAGGCCTGCCCTAAGC